GAGAGGCTGATAGGACGTGATGGATGGAGAGGCAGGAAGTGCTGAGGTCTCAGAAAGGAAACGCCCGCCGCCTCGGTCTGATGACGAGTGAATAATGAATGAACCGCCGTAGTCCGTCCTGTAGGTGGGGCCGATCGCAGCAGCTGCCGTACTGCAGCCGTGGAGGAGACGTGGGCCACGGGTTTAGAACACATGCTGCTGGTTTTGGTCAGCCCACGGAGAAAAAAAACTGTTTTCATTTGGTGAAAATGTTAAAAATGACAAAAGTTTTTGTTGAATCTGCAGAGAAAACTCCTGGTTCTGGTCTGTTCCGGGTCTGACCTCATGGTCCGGTCAGGGAGCAGACACCTGGAGGCGTCGGGCACCGAACACAATGACAGACACAAAACAGTGAGGACGGGTTTCCATGGAAACAGAGGGATGTAGAACAGAAAACAAGGAGGAAGAGCAGTGCATCATGGGTATGAAGAAAACTATTTGGACAGAACTGAGCTAATGACGGACTGTCTTCTAACCACAGGTCAGGGGTTCGAGTCTGGGTCAGACCTTGATGTCGATGTGTTTGGAGCAGCTGGGAAGAGTTTGAAGTAGTTTTTAGAATTTCTTACATTTATCCTCACGGAGAAATGAAGTGGTTACGCGGAGAGCATCAACAACAACAACAACAACAACAACAGGAACAACAACAACAACAACAACTGAGACTGAGCTGAAAAATGTGTTCATTTAAAGATGTGTAAAAATTCAAACTGCAGGAATAACTGTTCAGATCAGTGGTGGTGTCGTTCCTGACCTCAGCTGACCTCAGCTGACCTCAGCTGACCTCAGCTGACCTGACCTGAAAACACACTGACCTCTGCAGGCCGACAGAATGTTCTAAATCTTTCCCTCACAGAAAAAGGCTCAGAAAAACAAAAGAGAAAAGAATCAGTGAGACAAAGAGTCTGGAACCAACAACAACAACAGGAGTCAGGTGTGTGTGTGTGTGTGTGTGTGTGTGTGTGTCACACTGTCTCTGTCTCCACCGCTGGCCAACACACACACACACACACACACACAGGGGTGGCTTAAAGGCTCAGTTGATAATTGCCCCTCTGACGTGAGGTCCGTCCTTCCAGACACGTCTGATCAGTGGGTTTAACGGCTCCCTGACCCCCGCCCCCCGGGCACCGCAGGAACACGGACGTGGGGAA